TCCGTTCTGTGAGCATGCGCCGTCCAAAGACTCTGAGCAAGCAGGAAAACAATCTTTGCTTCGGTCAAAGTTCTAACGCTTATGTATCTGCTGAAAACTAGTTGTGTTGGACCATTTTTAGATCGATCTGAAACGCCAAATTCGCTCCAAATTCGATCAGTGATCTGCTTACAATGTGTACCATTCATTTCTTGCCAAATCAGGCAACAGCGAGAGTAATGCATTTAAGGAGATAGAAGCCCGCGGTACCAGCAATAAGTCTCCGTTTGTGAAGCAGAAACATAAACCTACCTACTCAAATGTTCATTTCTAACAATGCAAACTCTATTCCCTCCTTTGTGTACTTGACATATCAATGCACCTTATCACAATAAACATTCGGCCTCCATTATTCATTTTTGCAGGAACCATACAGCAAAGATTTCTACCACTACATTTATGTGTCTGTGTTTTTCAATCCTTTAAAGATGTGAAGTACGGTGACTACTGGCAGTGAATCTACAGTACTCTACGAATTTCCATTGCTCCATAGATTATACTACTTACTGCTAAGCAATTGCTTGACTTCCGTTTATGCTAACATACGATAGAATACACATCAAATCTCAAATCTCGATTATGAAAACATATTAACAGTATAGTCAAAATAGATGACGAGGATCTGATGAAAACAACATAACAACAACAAAGTTAGAAATACTCCGCTACTTATTACCCATACTGCGATCTTTTACCCACTGGTCACGTTGTTTTCGAAGCTCAATATCCCATGTGACAAATGGAGCCATCGTAAATGCCGATTTAGTTGACTCAAAAAAGGGAGATAAATCAAGGCCTAAAAAAGGATCAGAGCCTTTTTATAAAGTGTTTGCAACAAAATAATGGGAACACTTGCTTACCGTATTTTCGCTCATAATCAAAGGCCTGCGCTATCATATCAAACTTGTCAAGATGCTTCACTACTTTTGCTTCTAAAGTCTCCTGTGCCTCGTAGTCTCTCCAGAGCTCTATCCATTGATGACCGACGGCAGCGACAGGAACAAATGAGGCAATTTTTTGTATGGCCTAAATAATTATTTCGAAGATACTGAAATGAAATGATATCATATATCAAACAAAGCATTTATAAGGAAATGCTAAGCTAGTCAAACATGGTCTATATGAGTCGAGAAACTTATAATTCTAAAACACAAGAATGGTAGTCAAAGTAACAACTGACATTCTCCATAAATAAAAGTGAGTTTCCTCAACCCATTCCAACTTGTTACAATCACATTCTGCTTCCAAGCAATAGACAATTAGAATTCACTTTTACATTTTTCCTAAAGCTTGCTCAAAACTATCACTTGAATCAAGCACAAAAAAATGGTGACAAGATCTCGTTAACAAGATCACCATTAAAAACTTTTAGCGCGAATATTTTGAAAAGCCCTGTACGCATTTCACAAGAAAGCAGACGAAAATTATCCAGAAGACAATGAAATTAAATCGACCGAAAGTTTTATTTCAAGTATATATTTCAAAAAAAGGAAATATACGAATCAGGTAAGAAGAACCCCTACCTTATTTTCCCTTTCAAACTTCTCTTCATCGCTTATGCCACAATGCGGTGTGATATCTCCTACGATTGCTTCAGCTAGGTCGTGCACCAAACACATATACACTGCTCGAACCACACTCAAGCCTAAAATCTAAAAAGGAAGGGAACACAAAGAAGTCCCATGGAGTGAACTGTGATACCTTCAATTTGTCCTTCTAAAGACATAGCGAGCACAGCCATGCGATACATATGGGAAGCCACAGTTTCCGGTTCCGGAACCTGAGAGAGACAGCGCTGAGTCCAGTAATATAAAGGGGAACTTCGGAAAATTGCAAATTATTACCAACATTCGAGTGTACCCAACCTGTCCGCTTGAGATGCTTGACGGCGTCCAAAGCGGATAAAAGCTTTATGATGTTGTCGAACGCCATAGTC